TAAAATAATATATTCCAGAGGAAAGTTTCGCATCGATCTTTGATTTAAAATAATGATATTATCCAACATGCGCTACATCACTAGCGGTCACGCATTTATGACTCTGGCGTGTGAGGACATTCTTTTTTCAGAGTTTATTTCTTTCTTTTTAACGTAAAATTTCTCAATATTTATAATGCAATTTAATTAGTTTTATGGAAATAAATAAATTTTGGACCTTCTATTTTACAGGTATATAAATAAATAGGCATTAAAGTAATGTTTAAATAGTTTATTTCGTGTTTTAATGTACCGCTGTTTTTGTCACATATTTGTGTCGTTGGCGCTCAGGGACAGTTTTCGCTTGTCACGTATTTGTGACCCTGGCGCTCAAAAGGTTAATTTATGTGAAAGTCTAAAATGTATTCATGTAAATTATTTAACAAGTTACATTGTTAACTCCGATTTAAGACATTTGTTATCGTTGGGTACGCCTTTGAGATCTGGAAGATTGCTTATAATAAGTGTATCAGTGTTACCAGTAGATAATCGTCGTCACGTAGTGTTTGAGCGTGTCAATCGCGGAGTCCCCCAGCACAAGCAATCCATTGCTTCAAATGCTCTCCAATAATGGTGTTGTGACTCGAGCATGTCGCGCGGTGTAGGTGTGCCTGTTCGGCGCGGCGGAGGTGTCGCTGCGGGACGCGGCGCGCGCGGGCGCCAGCGACGCCGCGCTGACGGCGCTGGTCCGCGCCGCGCTGCGCAACAAGAAGGCGCGCCACGCCGGTACGTGCTCTCCGTCCACTACGCATTGTGACTGGGACCTTTTCCACAAAGTCCTTTGACAATATTACTGACAGGTGCTCGCCATACCATAAAAATAACAATAGGCGTAGGTAACAGTGAGCCAATAACAAGTCCTCACGTTTAACATTTGAAATAAATTAATTAATATGGTGTGAGTACTATAAAAATACATACATTCTGCGTAAATGGAAAAAAATAAATATTGAAACAGACCGTACAGACAATATGATTATGAACAGATCAAGAGAAACGATAAAAAAAAAATTAAAAAAAAAAGAAAAAGAAATTAAATATTTTATTAGGTACATTAAATTTGATTTTTGATAATAGTTCTAGACTATCCACATTGCCGTTAAGAACCTTAAACAAGAATGCAAATCCGCCTGGAGTGCCAGACCATCGTCAGGAGTTGAGATAGTAGCTGACAATTTCATGTCATCAGCAAAACATAAAAGTTTGGATGTATGAAAGCACTTGTTGATGTCGTTTACATAGATCACGAATAGAAAAGGACCGAGCAACGATCCCTGAGGTACTCCGCTGGGTATATTTACCCAGCTAGAAATGTAGTTACTGAGTACTACTGCTTGTGACCTATTGTCGATGTATGAAGCGAACCACCTCAAGAGGTCGCCGCTGATGCCTGTGTCAATAAGCTTCTGTAACAGGATATCGTGGTCAATCCGGTCAAACGCCTTGCTGTAATCTGTGTAAACCACATCAACTTGCTTACCTTTATCCATGGCATCCGTGACAGAGTCATTAAAAAGAATTAGGTTGGAAATAGTAGACCTCCCTCTCAAAAATCCGTGTTGAAAGGAGTTAAATGAATAAAAAAAAAAGTCAAATAATTATGTGAGTAAGCCGAAAGACAATAATTTTACAGCCTTCTTTCATAAATGAACTATCCAACATCAAATTAATTATTCAATTCGAACCAGTAGTTAGGAGACACACGATCACTTTCTAGCTTTATACATATTAGTATAGATAGATAGACTACATATTATAACGCTAATTATTTTGATACATTTATTTTTTTCCTGAATAAAGGTGCTTATTTTTAGTTGTGAACACGAAATGTGAACAAATATTTTTTGCTTGCTGTCAAAACATTTATTCATAGGATAGATAGTATAAATCTTTTAAAGTAAGTTTCTCTTCTTAAAGTAAGACGACGTAAGACTACGGGGGTCATGGCAGAGATATCTTTTGTTTCAATCATACATACGATTATTAAATTGATTTGATAAAACCATGTAATGATGTAGTATTCACGTCAGGTACCAAAAATTTGACAAAAAGCAGGGCAAACAGAATATAAGACGCATCTTGTATTTTCTTGTTATTACACTTGCACCATCATCATGCCAATAATTTTCTCGTATCTAAATATGAACCCTATGATTATAATTTATGATTTGTTAAAGTCTGATCAGTTAATTGTATTGAATACTTCAACATTATGTGTAGGGTAGGTTCTGAAATTGGATTTGGATTTAGTTTATATCGGAGTGAGCGAGTGCGAGGCCTGTATAGGAAGTATCCAGCTAGGCGAGCTCTTCGACATATATTTTTAGGAATGGAGAATCTGGCCCGCATGGAGAACCGTCCGATGATCCTCATCGGCGGCTAGCGTGCCTCGTGCGGCCCGCTACCGGCCCCGCCCGGCCCGCGCCCGGCCCCGCGCTGCTCAGTGATGTGGAACGTTCACAGCGCGGACTGCAGAGCCGCGCGTCTGGGCGCTGGCGCCGCGCATCTCGTTCCCGTGGGCGCCGGCCGCGCTCGCCTCCCGCGCGCGGGCCCCGGTGGGCGCCCGCGCCTACAGCTCGAGCGCCGAGGACGACGCCGGCGCCTTCTCGCACCTGGACGGCAGCGGGCGCGCGCGCATGGTGGACGTGGGCGCCAAGCCGGTGACGG